TGATACTAGAAACTTTTTCTAAACATGTTTATCTTCTCTTTATTTTCTCTAGACACAAGCATGGAAAATATCAAAAATGCTTCTTATCTTATCACATGGACAGGCATTATAGATAGGAATTTTTTCGTTAATAAATTTTATTAATGAAGACATTGAAAACTGACAAATTGAAAGATTCATCTAATATGTCTTAATGCATCATACACAGGGCTGGCGCTAGGCATTTTCCGACCTGATGCAATCTCTTTGGATCCTAAATTCTGCTATCTAGTGCCTTTCCAAAGTCTGTTTCCAAGGCCTGCTCTAAATTAAAAAAATTTTGCCATTGCTAGATTCTGTTGCTCAATGTGTCACTAAATTCTAAAAATTCTGCCACACAGCTGTATAACCGGCCCTTACCATATATATTTGATATTTCTTCTGAATCTTTTTACATTCTAAATGCATTTAGGAATTTTAGAATAAGAGAAATCTTGAATTAAATCCAAAAATTCTAACAATGAAAAGGAAACATATTGAAGAAAGAAACTGAATACATAAAGAGACAAGAAAATTATTCTTCAAACATATATACAGTTATTATTATGTAAATTACTCAGTTGTTTATAATTTTACCCTTTGCTCTAATTTTCTATTTATATTTCCTCACCAGAATGCAATTCACTTAGACAGCCGCTTAAATTAAAATTAAATTATATAGTCCACATTTTCGTTTGAATTTGACTCTTCTTGTTTAATTACATCACCACGAGCTGTAATTGATTTTGTTAGCATAAAAACATGTCTTTATGTTCTAAGTTCTAAGTAAAAGGCTTATTTAAATCTTTGTCTGATTCTGTAGTTATTTTCAGACATAGCGATAATTTGCTTCATGTCTGTTTGGGGGTTTTGGACTATTTAACTTTTACCAGATCAAGTAAACCCTCATAGATACATTGTGGAGAGGTTGACCCGTTAGGAGATAAAACATGCAGAAACCAATGAGAACATTTGTTTGTGTATTGAGACAAATTTCTAATTGTTAGAAAAGATGCTTAAAGAGAAGGATATTGATATAAATTAGCCAAAATGTCTGGGAAGGTTTCAAATTAAAAAGATGCATAAATAATTTGTTGAGTGTTGTTGCTGTTGTTGAGTGTACAGAACACAAATGTTTTGCACCTTTTAATGTGTAATTATCCTAATATCGTTTAAGAATCGATGCCATAAATTACATGTATTTTAAACTGTGAAATGTTATTAGATTGTGATTTTAATAGAGCTTTTTTAATAAAAATTTAATAGTGGCTATATGTAAATCCATTAAAAGTTATGCAACTACCTAATATAATTATTTATGACTAACTGCTTACCCTTAAAAATTATCTCTGCATATTAAAGAGAGTTATTGTCTTTCATTAATGCTTACCATGGTCACAAGATAAAACACAAAAGTGTAAAAATTCGTGTAAAACTTATTCTTCACATCTAATAATACATCAAAATAATACAAAACAAACTTATCACCTCTGGTGCTTTAAGCTGCGTTCAGACGGCGACGTAAAGAGCATAGAGGCATAGTCAGTCATAAGGGCATAAAATACGGGAGTTCCGTTCACACCTGCGAGACGGGGCTCTAAGCTGTGGCCAATGAGAGAAGCTAAATTTGCACATGTGTGGATGTGTCTACACCTTTCGCGTGCTGTTTTCTAGCTCGATTGATTTCCAGTGCTCACTCTCCTTGTTTTCGTTATTTTGTGTCATGGCATTTTCAGCTCAACACAAATTTTTACTGGTTCAATAGAATGCTCTTTTATCTGCCCTTCTTATAAGCCAAGAGGCAACGGAAGAAGGTAAGAAAAGAAGAACGAAATGGTCTAGAGATATTTTTTTGGAAAGACCAATGCTTGGTTGGCACATATTTCTGTGCAAATCAGTATGGAATATTGCTGCATTGTACTGTAGTACTCTCTATACTATAAACATATGCATGCATATTTATATATATAAAACCTTCATCAATTTTTATATATAATTTCTCTTAGGAGAAATACGATATTCTAAATATGCGTAATTAAAAAAAAATCTTGAAGATAAGTGGCAGATAGCCTGTATATAATATTTTTCCATTTTGCAGATGTGAAACAGAAACAGTAGTTACCATACATTATTATTTTTTAAAATTTTCAATCAAAAGGAACATGTTTCTGTGCTTAGCACTCCTTATTCACTGTCACTGTCGATCGCTACAGTAGCTGGCTGCACTACCAGTATCAGTTATCACTAGTACTAGTATCCTACCACTGGTCACCATAACCAGCAACCACAACTAGTACAATACTATGAAACGTACACACAACAGTGTATTTTATGCTCAATCATTAAATACATTTTGCTGCATTGCCAGCTGTTTGTATACATCTATTTCTAATAATTTGCATGTATAAGCCGTACCCCTAAATTTCATATGCTTTTTCTGAAAACAAAAAGCAGTTTACACTCGAGAGACTACAGTACATAGTAAACACTAACTTTTAGGATTTTATGTGGATAATTCTGCAAACTGGTATGTTTACATCATATGAGTAATTCAAATTCAAAACTCTGCTCTGCTGTGAGATGTCATAGATGTAAGTTTCATCCAGGTCTGTTGTCAGAAGTAATTACTTTTAATGATTTTTCATTTGCTGACAGATTATGACAATTCTTCACTCACTGGCAGACATGCATATTAAAGCACCAAATAGAGTTTAATTCAACATATGCTGCCATTTCTATTTACGACCAATATCTCAAAAGTAATTTCACCTTGACAAATTTTAGATACCCAAGTCTTCAAATAAAACAAAATTATAAACATTCATACCTTATCCAGAAATTTCTACCAGAGAAATAGCATGAATTTAATGATCAAAATTCCATTCAAATGATAGTAATAAAGAATGAATAATAATAACAAATACTATTCATTAAATTATAGTCCATGTGTGCTATTCAGTTTCATTAAAAGTAAATTCCTTTCATGGAAGAAGGTAATTAAAAAACAGAACAGAACATAGACAGAGACAGAACATAGAACATTCTAGACAAAACTGTCTAGACTGTTGACTATTATTTTAAGGATATTTCACTACATTTCTTTTCCTTCTTGGAATTCATAAGAGCATTTTCTCAAAAGATTAATCTTTTATTACTTATACAAAGCTTACACCATTAAATTGACTATTGTGACTATTGTTAAGTAAGTGAAAATATTTTTTTCTTTTTAAAAAAAAAAGTAATATTTTTACTGTAAAAAAAGGGGGGGGGCAGATTCTTGATATTGATTTGATGTTTTAGTAAAATTAATTCATGAAGTTTGTTTGAAACGAAAATCAGCATTTGAAGCGAATAGCAATACAATATTTCCAGCTTTTTCAATAAATTTATTCTTAAATACAAAAATAATTAAATAGGAAGAAAATGATAGTATTAATTTTTACAAAAATAATAAACGGAAAGTAATAATAATAATTTACACTGAAAAAAAATTTTTTTTGAAGCATGCATTTTTTAAAGACTTTTCACAATAAAATGAAAAATAATGGATGGGATCAATCATCTACCTGAGCTTAACTTTTGCTTTACGAGTTTCATCCATATTTTTCAATTTATTTCAATTATTATTATTTATTTTTCATTAAAAAAGGCATGTCATCATCGTAGATTTCTTGCGAGATCAACTCCTTATTTCGTTCGGATACGATTACAACTCATTTGGATACGATGTGCTCCATATTAAAAAAAATGTCGCCTTTGATGTGACAGTGAAATCATCTGAAGAAAGCCACTTTGTTTTAGCTTCGCTGTGATTGGTTGATGCTTATCCCAAACTCGGCGTAAAGTTGAAAACTTGGAACCTTGTGCCACGAGTCTTAAACTAGATTATGTGACGTAGCACAGACTGGTTGCCTTGGCAACGCAGCTCAGCTTTAACCACTTATGCCCATTATGCCCTCGTCTGAACACAGCCTTAGAGGCTCATTGGAGCATTAAAGTATATTAACTGAGTTACAACCCCTGAAACTCTACACGACGCTTCAATACTATCTGCATGAGGCAGAGACCAACTAACTTTCAAAACTTGCCAATCATGCCTACATCAGGCCTTTCAGATTTATTCTGATCAGCAGGTCTCTCTCTAGGGAAGCAGCACCGGTGACAACAGCCAGTCTTTTGTTTTGAATCATGCTCATTATGATTTTACTTCTCATTTTAATCTATGCTGCTTGACATAAAATCTGCCTGCTATTTACTAAAGCTCTAGACTAAGCAAGTATGTGACAAAATGAGACATAAAAAAAATCGACATAAAACTGTTAGTAAAACATAAATTAAATGTCACTTATCTTCTTTCAAATATGTCCAATTATTATGAGTGTAAAATATTTAATGCTACTGTATAAATTTCATAAAATTTATTTTATTCTCAAGCTTATTAATAATTATGTTTATTAAGTTACGTTTAATAATAATGCTTCCTACTTATGGATCTATTTTTTTTAGGATGATATTACCAAAGTGAAATTCTGGCATTGATAATATTTTTAATTCAATTTATTCAGTTCTGATTTGCTCATAGGTCTTTAATTTTTTTCATTAATGGTCCTTAAAAGTCCTTAAAGGTACTTAATTTTTGTGTGTGGAAATGTGTACGAACTTTGTGTCTATCAGAAATTCTAAAGATATGCTCATTAAAGTCATTTGCGATACTGCTGTTGAATTGAATTTTATGGTTTAAGTGTAAAGAATATGATAATTAATAAATAAAGGTAACACACAAAACATGAAAAAAATGTGCCTTTAGGCGTAATGTAAAATCTGAAGACTTTCAGATTTTTAAAAAAAATTTTTATTTTATTTATTTACTTTTTGTGTAGTTTTATTAAAATTCTTTTGTCATGTCATATGTACACTAATATTATGGACTACTTTTGAAATTGTATAAAAGTTTTAAAAATATATATATTTAATTTTTATAGAAAGCTTTGGATTTGATGAAAGTTACTGAAACTAAAGGTATTTTGACTTCTGACTTAAGAGATTACCAGGCCCGAATAACTCACAATTATGAAGAAGCCAAAAAAGACAATGATTTCATTTACCATGCACGCATTCCAGACCATAAATCATTGCCACCTATTGGGAAAGCTGCATTGGCAAAACCCATTCTTCCTGGTGAAAAATTGAATCCAAATTCTCAAGGTAAAATCATATAACTCTATTACTGGTATTTTTTTTTTTTTTCTTTTTATTCCTCTTATGTAAAAGTTTTGTAAGTCTTTAAAAAGTAAAGTTAGTTTATAATTACATGAACCAAATTTGACATTCTCTTAAAATTTTGGAAAAACCACTTAAATTTAGCCACAGTTAATTTATGAATTGTGAGTTTTCCCTGCAGTATTAGGTAATAGTAGTTTATTACCAGAAATCATAAACGAGTTTATTTTCCTCTCTATTAGTGTATAGGTTTAGAAGTGCCCTTTTTTCTTTTTATATTATTCTAAAAACAGTAATAAATGTATTTTTTCATTTATTACTTATTGGAAAATAATAAATGTAATTTAGGTTATCAAAAATTTTAACTTCCTTGTAAATTTTACTAAGTTTTATAATTCATTGAGATGTAGAAATTGATGCACCAAGAAGTTATTCAGTTGAGTCAAAAATTGATAGGTGTGATATGCATGTATAAAAAAAAAAAATGCAAACTGAATGATTTATTCAAGAGAAAGGGCCATGGAAAGTCAGCAGATCACTAAAGTGTTAGTCCACTCTGATATGGTAAGCTGTTATCCAGTGCTTACAAATTTGGTGATTTCTTCTCAAATTATTTTCCGTCTGTGAGGTTTATTCACTGATATTCTTGGATGGTTTGTGGGACTTTCCCACCATTCCCGAAATTTGCTTTGTGGGAGGCAGATTTTGTGAAGCTGACCAAGGCATTGCTTGACAAGCATTAAGACAGTAAAATTACGTGTCATGAATGATTATCTTTTTGAAAAGTGAGCCCTGGATGGTGCCAGAAAAGACTGTCTAGTACGTTTCAGAATTTTATCAACATACATCTATCATAAGGATGCTGTGGGATGATTACCAAAGAAGTCTATCTAGTCTGGGTATCAAAAGGCTAGTACCCCAGATCATAATACTGTATAGCATGCAGCTGTAAGGCGGTCGCGGACACTTAGCCGACGGGACACTTAACCGACACCAGTTAGTTGAGAAGCCATTTAGCCGACAAGGACACTTAGCTGACATGGACACTTAGCTGACAGGGACACTTAGCTGACATGGACACTTAGCCGACAAGACATTTAGCTGAAATGGACACTTAGCCAACAGGACATTTAGCCAACTTGGACACTTAACCAACAGGTCATTTAACTGACATGGACAGTTAGCCAAGAAGACACTTAGCCGACAAGGACACTTAGTTGACAAGACATTTAGCCAACACAGAGGGGTTAGCCATCAGGAGCATTTAGCTACAGTACATTTAACTGCCAACACATTAAGCCGATAAAACACATACCCAATAATAAACACAACACATAAACACTAAGCCAACAGTGACGTTTAGCTGACACATACCCAATAATTATTCAAACTTACTATCAATTACAAAATTTCTCAACTTCTCCATAAGTTCAATATTTAAATTATTTTTTCACTAACAGTAAAATTCATTTTTCGATTCTTAAAGATTTCATATGTGCTTTTAATTATTGTGTTAATTTAGCATTGTTTGATATGTATCGCTCTGTTTGGTGTATATTGGCCAAATTAAAAAAGCTCTGAAATTTCTCGTTAGGAAATATGAATTAAATTTCGAAAGGAAAAAAGACTTTTTTTAGCTAAGTACGGCAGTTACTTAATTACATTTTAATATGGGATCTTAAAAACTTATCTGTAAAGCTTCTTCATATAATCAACTGGGTTCTTTTGAACACTTTAACATCATTAATAATTTTTCTTGTTTACTTAATGATAGTAATTTTCCAGTCTCACTCTTCCAAATGCTTTCAAATTTCTAATACCTTTACGTTTCATTACTATTTTACTCATCACATCATGTTACATTCTTTCCCTTACAAAATCGTTTGGCTCCTCCCACTAATGAAATTTCCTTTCCCTGTCATGAAAAATCTGAATAATGCAATAAAAATTGTTATTCTTGAATTATACTTTTTTTATAGAAACATATGGTGGTGAGGGTTAGTTTAGCAAATGTATTTTATTTTGTTATTAAAAACAATTAAAAAAGTGAATTACAGAATCATAACAAAGCATGTCAGTGAACTCTTCATATTTACTTACCTTGGTAATTGAATTGCATAGATTGAAAGATTTCCATGTACTGAATAGTGTTGTTTACAGTAGTTCCATCTTAGATAAATAAGAGTTCATTATAAACAATTTCAGAAGCATTACAAAGAAAAAAAATCCTGTATATCTCTACTTTTATATTGTCATATTGGACTTTTCCCTTACCAAGGAATGTTAGCAAGTTCTAGCTGGTGAGGTTTACTTCAGTTCTGAATCTTTACAAAACTTTCCCTTCTTTAATGCATCTGAAAAATATGCTGTCTTTATCTGCATTATGATCAGATTATTTTAGGATCAAATAATTTCCATGCTGGATTTTCTGCCACGGTATTTAAAACAGTATATTGGTTAATATTACCCATGATCTTCAGTTGAGAATTTTGTAACAAATATCATAGATGATTGCTGCTGTTGCTGCACCAGCAACTACAGTTTAAAATTCGTGAATACTTAGAAAAATTTGTTCTTGCTTTCAGTTAAGACTGTTGTTAGGTGGTAACTTGGGCCATCATTATTTAAACTGTTTCATTATTTTATTCAAGGAGGAGAAAACTCTATAGCTTAATATTTCTACATTGACGTGATAAATTACTTCCAGATTTGGTTAATTTTTGGCAGAATTTGACTTTTACCATTGCTTATGCTGTTGCATTCTGGATTTACACTGCTTGCATTCTACCATCTATCATACAACAGAACTATTTTCTGAGCATACAGCATGCCTGTTGCTGCTTCATGCTTAGATGAGAGAAGAGTGACATAACATAATTTTATGGATTTTTTTTAATAGTTTTATGCAACAAGCTCACTTTGTGGTCAGTTCACAATATTGTTAATTGTATAGTTTATTTTATTATCGTTAGTGCACTTTTTTAGATTATTGCTTCATGTACTGAACCATTCTTACATCATATGCATTTTATATTTTTGTTCTTATTTAAGTAATGTTATAAAATGTTGAAAAGATTTTTGTTTTTTGTTTTTTGTTTTTTGAACTTAAATGCAATTTAAAGCATGGTGAAACTTTTTTTTGGGGGGGGATGGGTGTAATTTCATTATTTGAGAAATGCATTCCAGTAAATTAATTTTCCATTTTTTCTTTTGTTTACCACTTAGATTTATTTAGTGCCTTGCTACCTGTAGCTGTTCAGCAAGCAATGAGTGCTTTTGAACTTAGAAAAATGGAAATAGTGAATGGTGAGAAAGCAAAATTGCAGAGTGAAACTCAAATGCTGAATGGGTTAGTTTGTATTATTTTATATTTCTTATATTAGTGATCATTTCTTAAAAATGGAATACTTTTATGTATTCATTTGGTTATATGCTTCTTCATTCCTACCCATTTGATGCAAAATCGAGTAAAATTGTGTTCGTAGGAAAGGTAGATGCTCGCTTATAATGTAAACCTGCTTTTCTAAAAGTTTTAATTTTATTGAAGGAGCAGTTATTTTAGGTGCTTCTTGTGTAATTTGAAATTGAAAATTTTGATGTGGAGAAGAGAATTAATAAAAAGTATTGAATAATGACAAGAGTACTTTAATATATGCAAGCATTTAATAATAGTTTAATATAAATGGTTAATTGTTTTGCCATATTTTATTGTATTATATTTAATTGCTTTGATTAATAAATATAAGAATTATTTCCATTATTATTGTGCTATTTCACTGGCAGGGCCTGGATTCAGTTTAAAGCTTTTTAAAATTAGGAAGTCTTAATTTAAGTTTGAAAAATCACTTTAATTTTTAGACAGAAAATATTAGTAACTCTTATTTAAAAGAAGAAATATTAAATTTTATAGAAATTTGTTTAGCGTATGTAAATGATTGGTAATAAACCTTATTCTGCTGGATACTCAAAAAAATTTATGCATTTGAAATAAATAACTGAAATGTATATATAGTGTACTAATTGAATTATTATTATTTATGTAAAAATGATATACACATTACAAACAAACTGCTGAGAGTAATTTCGTGTTGCTATTAACCCAGCAGTGTGATAAGATAGGCATCCTGGTCCGTGTTATAGTTTTAGATTTGTTAACTGTTTTCTTAGCTCTCAGTTTTCATGAGATTTTCTCCTTCATCATACATACACAACTATGTTTTGATTGTACTGCATGGATTTTGAGAGAGAGAACACTGGTCTCTTTGAAATGACCATTCAAAATTCACATGTTTTGCTTAAAAAATTTGTTTTCTGTTTTAAATCAAAAATGCAAAAGAACATTTGAAAGGTAGAAGTATTCCATTTGCACTAGCCACTAGGCAAATTAATTTAATTTATTCATGCTTTTAAAAAATTACATTATAATCAACAACTTCATCTGTCAGTGGATCTGAAAATCAAATCTACCTAGCGTACAAGCAGCCCTGTAGTATTCCATTTGCACTAGCCACTAGGCAAATTAATTTAATTTATTCATGTTTTTCAAAAATTAAATTATAATCAACTGAAATTTTGTTTTCTCATAAGTTATAGTAAATAAATGCTTGAAAAATATAGGCTTTAATCTTTTCTTTATTATTATTAGCCAGTAACTTAGGAAAAAAAAATAGCTCTATGGAAGAGATGTAATAAAGATAGTGAAATTTTTATTACACACCAAAGTAATTTTAGAATGCTTTACTTGAGTTTGCTAAATTTTTATTTTTATTTTTTTATGAGAATTTGAGGGTGAGCATTTAATAAATGAACAATTAAATTATATGCAAAAAGACTTTTATTCCCTGTAAAAATTTCAAAACTTTACATCCGATACATTTTTAGATGTTGAAATTTTTAAATCATAAATGTCAGTCTAAAAATCAAGAGATTTATAAAAATTTAAAATTAAGTTAAAATTTTTATTAAAAATATTTTTTCTCCATGTATTTGATGGTGCAAATAGTAAAATTCTTAATTTTTAGATGTTGAAATTTTTAAATCATAAATGTCAGTCTAAAAATCAAGAGATTTATAAAAATTTAAAAATTAAGTTAAAATTTTTATTAAAAATATTTTTCTCCATGTATTTGATGGTGCAAATAGTAAAATTTTGATATTCTTCCTTTGTTTGTTACACAAAGATATATGCAAAAAAATTGTTTAAATATTAAATTTTCAAAAAATTGCTTCACCACATTGCATTTTTATCAACAAAGAGTGTGTGTTCAAAATGTGAACTCTATATCTTTTCAAGGAGTATGTTAAAAATCAATAACAAAATGCACAAGTAAAACAAAAAACAAAAAAAAAAAAAAAAAAAAAATCAAAAGTATGAGTGAACAAAATAAAAACTTAGAATAAACTTTATTAGATATGAAGAAAATAAGCTATAAATGTCATCAACTTCTTCACTCTTACGAGTCCTACGTATCAAAAGAAATACAAAAAGAAAGTATTGATGGTGACCCCTGAAATCTGTCATTTGAAATTTAAAATGCACACAAATGTTGTCAGAATGACACTCAGAAAACTGTCAGAAAACTTAATGGAATGTCTTTAGTGTTAATTTTGTTCTTATTCATATTTACTCATATTTGTAAAACACATGATGCTTAAAATTTGTATTCATAGCTTAGAAACATTTCACATCATGGAAACAATTTAAAATTTTGCGTAAATATGACAATAATATATAATGAGTATTTATATAGTTAGTCACTTTCTTAAAGCTTATTAAATTTGTTACTTCATCACTGTGCGGAAATAATTTTAAAACAGAAATATAAATATTATTATGAATAATGTACTTAGTTTTAATTTTTGTGTTTTTATTCTAAATTACCTGTTTATACTATAAAAATATAACACTATTTTAAATTACCTGTTTATAATATAAAAAATAACATTTAAATAAGAATGTGAGAATGCAAATATTTTGATAAAAAGATTTTATAGGAATTATTTTTACATGTTAGGCTTAACTGCAAAATGCATTTAGGCACAAAGCGACATTCAGAGCTCCAACGTCACAGGCCCAAGGAAAAGGGCAACGGAAGGGAAGAGATTAAAACAGTTTATACAAGAGAAACTTAATGTCAATAAGTTCAAACTCATGTAAAAATACAATAGGACTTTTTATTTTTTAACAGAGTTAATTTCACAAGCAACAACTGCTATCACTGCCAAGCATTTTCCTCTTCTGTATTTTCCACAGAGAGTTTTATTTCACATTGATGGTTTTACAGTAAAAATTTTTCCATCATTCTGCAACAAACAATTTTTTTATAGGCAAGGCCTGGTTACTCCTTAAACCTGTTAGTTACTTTAACACTAAAGACATTCCATTAAGTTTTCTGAGTGTCATTCTGACAACATTTGTGTGCATTTTAAATTTCAAATGACAGATTTCAGGGGTTACCATCAATACTTTCTTTTTGTATTTCTTTTGATATGTAGGACTCGTAAGAGTGAAGAAGTTGATGACATTTATAGCTTATTTTCTTCATATCTAATAAAGTTTATTCTAAGTTTTTATTTTGTTCACTCATACTTTTGATTTTTTTTTTTTTTTTGTTTGTTTTGTTTTGTTTTACTTGTGCATTTTGTTATTGATTTTTAACATACTCCTTGAAAAGATATAGAGTTCACATTTTGAACACACACTCTTTGTTGATAAAAATGCAATGTGGTGAAGCAATTTTTTGAAAATTTAATATTTAAACAATTTTTTTGCATATATCTTTGTGTAACAAACAAAGGAAGAATATCAAAATTTTACTATTTGCACATCAAATACATGAAGAAAATATATTTTTAATAAAAATTTTAACTTAATTTTTAAATTTTTATAAATCTCTTGATTTTTAGACTGACATTTATGATTTAAAAATTTCAACATCTAAAAATGTATCGGATGTAAAGTTTTGAAATTTTTACAGGGAATAAAACAGTCTTTTTGCTGTCTTTTAAAACAAGACTGATAAAAAATATTAATTGAGAGACATGTGTTGCAATCTGAAGCAGAGAGACGGGAAAATTTTTTTTTTGAGTTTGTCGTCTTAATGCACTTGAGGATGAACTTTCCCATCTTGGTACATTTCATGACAGATTGGCAATATATGTTTTTTTCATTTTAGCTTCAAGTAAGAGGTTCATTGTAACATTGTTATAACATCCATTATTTTTAAACTGAAAATATTCAGTGATTTTTTTTTTCATTCTCTGAATGATGTTCAATTATTTTTTTATTTCATTATTTTCTTATAATTTGCTGCTTATATTTTAATGGCTAAACATTTCATTATTGATAACATACAATTGAAACTAAAAAATATAAATTACATTAAAAAGTTTTTTTTATGCAATAAGATTTTATTTAAAATGGCTGTGATAATTAATACATTAAAAGAAGAAAAGTAATTTATCACATACTGTTATGGAAATAATAGATTAATTAATTCTCTTTACATAATTCATACACAATTTTATATTGTGAATAACAAAAGCATGGAGTGCCTAAATAACAAAATCTATTAATTGAATTGCATTATCAAATTTATCATGAACACCGCACACTTTTATTATTCCCACCATAAAATTGTAGATAATTTTTGGAAATAGAATTGTTTAATCTATTATTCCCCTAATGCTATATGGTAAATAATTTTTCTCTTTTTGGTGTGTAAATTATCATATCCATTTTAAATAAAAGCCTATTGTATAAAAACCTTTTTTTTTAAATTTTGTTTTATTTGCAATATATTCTTTTTATTTTGAATATTGTTTTAATTGATATAATTAAATAAACTTATTCTCCTGATTTTAAAAATACACACAATAGTATTTTTTCTATTAGTTGTAATATAGGTTATTTCCATTTTTTGTGTTTTAATAACTGCCCATAGAATAACCATGACTTTAGAATTAACCATGGATGTCATCCTTGATATGCAATCAACTCTTGATTAGCAAGAAAATCAAGAGTTGATTGCATCAATGAATAATGTGATTATATGTTAGTAATGTTATATGTTATTATGAGATGCTATATGATATACTTTGATTGTTATGAATTAATATTTTAATCAGAAATTTAAGCATTCAATATTTCTTTTAAATATTATAACATGTTAAACTTGGGATCTTTGTAATCCTTGTAGCATTTTGGCGTCGTTAAATTTACCTGCAGCTTTAGAGGATACAACTGGCAATTGTTTACCACAGTCTTTAAGGGAGAAAGCTGCAGCAGTTCAAGAGAAGGGTGGCATGGAAACAATTCAAAGACTTTTGAATGAATTGCCTTCCTTATTACAAAGAAATAATGAAATTTTGAAAGAGGTGAGTATTTTAAGTGTCCATTTTTGTACACATATTTCTAAACATCTGTCTAGACAAATTTTTTTAAACGTTTGGCTTATTTGCTTGTTAATCTTATAATTGTTTGTTAAAATAATAGATCAAGTATGAAACATCAACTCTGAATGAAAACACAATACTGGAATTAAAAATGAAATAAATGTAAATATGGCAAATTTCTGCAATTTCAATTCAAAAGATGAATTGTTTAAAAAATATTTTTGAAACTGAGTTTTATTCAGAATGTGTCAATTTAAAGTTTTTTAACCCCTCTTAATTCTTCTTTTTTAAAAATAATATTCACAATAAATGCAAAATATTTTTAACAAGTAAAGTGACTTTTAAATGATTAACTTATATTGAACAATATAAAACTGTAATATTGATGGAAAATAAAAGATCTTATTCGTCATCATGTTGTAGCAGTATCAGTTTATTACACATTGAAAATTATAACCCCAAAGAAAAATCATTTTGAGGTGTATAAAAATAGAGATGGTAGAACATCTGTAGTTGTTTGATGATAAATCAATGGATGAAGTTGACTGTATGTAAAAGAAATCTGTGTTTAAAAAAAAAAAAAAAAAAAAAAAAAAAACAGTGTCTTTAATTTTTGCCAAAGAAACGTAAACTGTGTGTGGAAACTAATAAATGTTTGACTTCACAGTGTTCTCTTTTTGATAGAACCTAACTTGCTGGCTACAGAAGAATTTCATTAATATGTGGCACTTTATAGTTCTATAATGTATTAAATTTGTGATTTAGTTTATATACCATATTAATTTTTTTACCTTTTAATATGCAGAAATTTCAAAATTGTTAAATTTTATTAAAGAAAAAATATTATTTAAGTAAGTAGAGTTTAATGTACTTGCATATATATTTAATTATGTGACTTGAAACTATCTTAAGGCAAGAGCTAATATCTTGTAACAGTAGGTAATGTTACCCATACTATGGCTTATGCATATTATAAATAATAATGGTTTAGTTTTTAATGTGATGTCAGTTTGACAGAAATATATTATAACTAGTGATAATATATTATTTCAGAGTGAACGACTGTTGAATGATGAAGAAGAATCAGATCAAGAGCTGCGTTCAAAATTTGGAAGGGAGTGGGTGCGAACACCTTCTTCAAAGCTTAATGAACCTCTAAAAAGTAACATTCAGAAGTATTCTCAGATTATAAGTACTGCAGTTTCTGCTGATGCTATTGTAAAGGAAAAATATGAAAAACATAAAGATAAAATTGCTTTGCTTTGTCTTCCAGAAGTAAGAACATATTTGCTGTTTCATATTTTTGTTTTCATATCTTTTTTTCATCTACTGCTGTGTAATATGATTGGATTTTTATGTTATGCAAAGGAGGAAAAAATTTTCATTCTTCTAATGTATTAGTAATTTGTATTTTGTATAAAAAATTATTTAGTATGCTTGATGATATTGTTCTTTTTATAATTATGGTATTAGTATGTTAGATTCACTTAAATAATATAGTGTCACTCCAAATTTTAAAATAAGAAAAAGATAAACTTTAAAAATGCATGTCACCTTTTTTGTTATTACTGTATTTACTTGCATATTTTTCCATATTTTTGCTCTTAATTTTACCTCTTGAAAATTGAGAGGGTGAAAATTACATGATGCACATACTTTCTGAGGAGAGGGTTAGAGGAAGAACGTAACAAATTAAATATATATGCATATAAATAGAGAGAGATGTGATAATATTTCTGCATTGTTTATTACAGGGAAATAACAATTATTACTTTCAACACTCTGTTTTTTATTTTGTAGTTTATCATACCATATGTACCAGGGTTGGCCAAACTTCATGTCGGTAAGAGCCACACATTTGAATTCAGGCATGTTCGAGAGCTGCATCTAGATTTTTTTAAAAGCCACAAGTTCATATTTACATCATTATAGAAGTAGTAGAGGAGTTTTAAATAGAAAGAAATCCCTGATAACTTTGTAAGAAGAGTCTAAACTAATTAATTACTTCTTTTTGGACACTGAATAATTTTAGTTTACCATATTTCATTCATATATTTTATATGCACGAGCCGCACAAATTGCCTGCGAGAGCCATATCAGGCTCGAGAGCCGCACTTTGGCCACCCCCGAACTCTTGCTGTAAATCGAATTTCTAAAGTATATGCTAAAAATGTGGGGTGAAAATGTATGCTAGTAAACAGAGTATTAATTTGAATATATGTATTTATAACACTGCTGTAGAAAATACCTTTTTGAAGGAAATTTGAAGCATGTGTTCTATGCCCTAACTTCTAGCACCACCTTTTGGGGAGATGGATGCAGTTGTGTATGTTCCTGCAAATATGTCATGAATCTAATGGAAGAAAGCAAAAATTGATTAAAATAAAAAATAAATCTATTTAAACTAACTCCATATGGATTATGGATATTTATATGATTTATTAAGTTTTATGTACCATATGTTGACATCAGAGGCATTCATTATATTTAAATCAACTAAGAATTATTTGTCTCATAAAAACTGAAATATCTTTGAGCATTGTGTATGCCATCTAGATCACTGATTTTGGTGATTAGGGCAGCAAGGGAAACACAAATAAGCCATCTGTGAGCCATTTAGACGCTAATAGTTAGATTCTAGTTCAGTGATTGGTAAATCTTATTTCTACCTTGATGGCGGTGACCAAGCTGTGTATTTGTGTCTCCCTTGATGGCAGTGACCAAGCTGTGTGTTTGTGTATAAATAGTATTTCATTTCACTGTATTTTCTTTTCTCATAGCAGGTGTTTAATATTTGAAGTAGTATTATATTACTTATGAATATTTGCCCTATAACCTCATAAATAGATAGTATTTCAGCATGAGTAGAGAAATTACTAATTTGCATCATCACAGCCAGAAAATAAGTGCCATTTTTTGAATCATAACTGTAAAAAACAGAATATACATCATCAATGATATGTGATACAATATCTATTGTAAACCACTTGGAGAATGAGCCCATAGTCCCATCTTCAGAGTATCTGCTGGATATTAATCAGAAAATGAGTTTAGTCATTAACAATGATTAAAATAAAAAAATATTTGACTACAAATCTTATGAGAATTTGGCACTTTGAAAGCACATGGTAAAATGAAGAGCATGAAACTTTTCAACAAAAAGGTTCAACATCAATTAATGCTGCAGATGATGATTAATCAGATCAGACAACTTCTTCTGGAAAGAAAATTTTCAGATATAAGAAAGTTCAACTAATTGGGTATATATCAGACTTGTAAGAGCAGACAGTAAATTTTCAGAAACCATATGCATCAAAACTTTTAAAAATGAAAAAGGAAATAACTGTCAATATATTTAAAACGGCAGGGAAAATAGTTTAAAAATAATCAAGCATTTCATGATTTGAGAAAGCAGTTGATGCGCAAAAGCTGAATGAAATCAGTATGACCCATATTTTATGCACAACAAATACATGCATTAAGATTGTAAACAGTGCACTGAAAATGGGGGGGGGACGCTGTCATTAAGAACACAGTAGAGTTGAATAATTAAATTATCCTCTCTGTAGATGAAAGTAATACTATAAATCAGTTGCCTTTGCTCAGTATTTAAGAACAACATTTTTAGACATAAATGATATTAACCAATTTTTTTCCAGATGTAAATTGCGATTTTTTTTTTAATGTAAAGATGTCCACTGCAGAAGGAATATTCAAGACAGATCATCACCAAACTTGAGTAACATTAAAACTTTCTTTGCTTAAGCTGTTGGGAAAATGAAATTCCGCCATAATCCTGTGATCTTGGAGAGTGCTGAATGTCACTATGTGCCCCATCTCATTTTATGATTAAGCCTAACATAGAAAAATAATTGCTATAAATATGATTTTTATTGAAATATTTGTTTTCTTATGCATATTAATTGAATATTATTTTTTTGTAATATAAAGACAAAATGCTGATATTTAAAATGAAACTTTAAAATAACTTAAATTGCAACATGAGTAATAATTTAAGAGGGTAAGTATTTGTGGCTGTTATATTGTATCATCATATCTATAACCAAAATTTTAAGTGTGTAATATTCACTGTGTGAAATATTTACTGCATTTTGAAACTAACATCTCATTTTAAGGAACAATTATTGTCTGGCATTCCCACTGGTAGTCCTTTGGCTTCTTGTCCATCTGTAGACAAGCTTAAAAGTTTAATGCATGAAGTGGAAGCTCTGAAAGCTGAAAGAGAGACATTATTGGGAGAACTTGAAAGTGCAGCTACTGATATGAGTAAGTGTAAAAGACAATGATCGCCAGACATTTTTGGTTAATGGTATCCTTGATATATCAGATTTTCCTATATGGGCCTATTTTACAGTGTGTAGTTGATGCATTTAAGATAGCTAAATTAAGGAATAAATTAAACATGTGTTTAAAATTTGGAAACAGTTAATATAAAAACTATTAAAGAAATGCATATTTTGAGCAATGACATCGTTAAATAAATAAATCTTAATATGAAGATTAATTGTGATCTTCCTATTGTGCCAATTAATAATAATAAACGAATCATTTTGAAATTTACATTTCAAATCTTTAGAAATTTTGAAATCACTGGACATAACTGTGTAGTTCCATTCTTTTGAATTCTTTCTTTAATGTATTGCTTCAAAATAGCTGAATAAGATCCATCTACAGAAGTAAAAAATGCACGTGAACTATTTAAATATCTCCGTCAAAAATGTGTTCAAACCAATTGGCACGCTAAATGCTTTTCAGAAATAGTGGTTTGTATGTGTTTGTGGATGTCCTTCTTACCATAATATTAATTTATTGTTGGTCTGATTCTAAAACTCACATGGACTAATTATCATTCCATGAAAGTATAGATATTCTTCGCAGCCCTTCATGGTAAACTCACAGTGCTCCGTAGCATCGTAACATGTAGTTTGAGAACACTGTTTTAAGGAAATGTGATTAAATTTTTGAAATTCAAGATGATTTTATGTGTGAAGTCTTGGAAATTAATTTTTAATTCATATTTCTATTTGGAATTTTTTGAAGTATTTCTTACATGAAAACAAACAGAACCTAAATTTCTTAAAAAAATGTTCAATAAACAATTCATGCTTGACATTTAAAGCATAAAGTTAAGTGACATTTAAAGCATCTTCAATAAACAATTCATGCTTGACATTTAAAGCATAAAGTAGGTACATTTAACAAATGTATATATTTTTTGTTAAAAAGATAAATCTGATTTAGGTTCTGGGTTAAAATTTGAAAGGTATTGTAAATTTTGTATACTTGCAGTGAAACATAGAATTAATCAAAAAATTTTGTTTCATTTCAAGGATAATACTCCTACGTGCATACATGCATACAATAGCAGATATTGATTGCAATTAAGATTTTGAATTCTGGGAATTAAGTTTTTCAGACTAAACCAAGAAGAAATTGTAAATATTATGATTGTCTACTTAAATTAAAACATTTTCAGCCTTGCTGTCATGTATTTTGAGGAAGAGTTTAATTCAGAAATGTAAAATTAAGCAATAGCAAAATATTCTTTGAAAGTATGTTATTGTTCAAATTAATAAAAAAAATTAAATATTTAAACAAAGAAAAAGACAGTAGCAATTTGTATGAAGATGTATAGAATCTTATCATTTTCATTTATTTTATTTTTCACACACAGTGGTCTGTAGATAAGAGAATTAGAGAGAAATTTTGTAATGAGACTATGTAGTACGAGGTATCAGGAACTTTTGATATTAATGATGTAAACAATAATATACTTTTGTTGTAAATTATTATGATGCACGCTTTGCTTTTAAAAGTTAGTTTTGATATGGGAAAAAAAAAAAAAAAAGGTGGTAATTTTATTTTTTTATTTTTAATAAATGAAAATCTTGCACTTGGGGATGATTAGCAACATTTTTCTTTTGTCTTGGATATAATTGCTGTAAAATGAAAAAAGTAACTCTTTGACAGGGGAAAAAAGATTTCAAAGCATGGGTAAAATTATATTTAAGAATTTTAAAGCCACATATTATTATTAAGGTAGTATAATTGTGATTTTAAATTTTATTCATGATTTTAATATTTTGTTGTCAGAATTATACCTTTCATATTTTATGATATATAAATCTTGTAAGATGACTTAGAACTTGTTTTTAGAATTGGAAAGGCATAGGAGAAGTTAAAGGAATCTTATGTATGACTACCATGCAGTACATTTTTGGTTCTTTGCTTTGCATGTAGCAGATTTGTATCTTGGTGCCAGTAGGTATAAACCATGCAAAATATATTTCTTGGAAATAAAAAAAGCTTTTACCTCAAATTCATGCATGATATATCAGAAAAGCATTAGATATCTGGTCGTGACTAAAGTTTTTCACCAAAAAAAACTTCTTAATTGAGTTTAAAACATAAAAGCAGTACCTTTAGCGTGGGTAGTAATCACCATCCAAATCTATGATTTTCTGCCAACATTTTGTTAGTTTTTCAAAGCCTTTGGCCCAGAAACTTGGTGGCCGAGAGTCCAAAAACAGATCAACCTCATTTCGGACTTCCTGTGCAGAATGGAAGATAGCACCAGCAAGATATAGCTGCAGGTGTGAAAAAAAGTAGAAGGCCTAAGGAACAATGTGAGGGTTATATGGTGGGTGTGACGAAAGATTCCATTCAACTCCATACAGAGTCCAGCTGATGAGAGCAGACGCACGTGGTCTTGCATTATCTTGATAGAACAGTTCCTTTTTGTGCTGGAACTCAGTTTAACTTCCTTTATAACAGCGTTAACACAGACTAGCATCTCACTGTAGACCCTACTGTCAAGGGTTTTATATTTTTCCAGATATATTTTGTAGAAAATACCATGGCAGTCCCAGCAGATACAAGACATGATCTTTTTGTTAGTCAAATTGCACTTTGCAACGCTGCTGATGGGCTCACCAGGTGCTGACCAATCTCCTTTGCAGCCTACGCTGTTGAAATAAATCCACTTTTCGCCACAAGTGACAATCCAGTTTCCATGATATTTGAGCAGATTATTGCAAGCCCGATCATCTTATCAAGCCTTATCTGCTTGAGTCAGCTCATGCCGCAACCAACAACTGAACTTGTACATAAAGTTTATGTGATGCATAGCACAAATAATGGACAGGGCACTAACGTCTAACTCCTTAGCAAGCTCTAAAGTGGTTGCATACTGATCTTCTTCCACAAGTTCTCACAGGTGGGCCTCATCAATATCAATAGGCCAGGCAGAGCACTCTGCTTCTTGAATGTTATAGTCCTTGTTTTTCAATTTTAGTTATCAAATGCTATATGATACAACATTAGTACTTAAAGCTATACACATGATTTGGTGTCATTCTGTAACTGACTTTTTGCAACAGAACTGGAAGTAAATGATGGTTCTAATCTGATAAGGTGATAATTCCAATGCAGACACCCTTTACTTAATGAAATTTGTTTACAAATTTCACAACACAGTGTTCTAAAGCTGTACTGTTTCTTTCAAATGCCAATGATTAAACATGCTAATGCAAACTATTTGCACAGACAATATTTGTGGCAATAGAAAACTTTCATTAAAAATGTTATATAATATTTCATTAAAATATTATGTATATATTAATATTATATGATATGGTGTGCGATCTCTAATCAAAACAGTGAAATTAATGAGAAATGAAAGCAGTGTTTTCAGTTATCTGAATAATAGTAGAGCATGCCAATGGGTTTGTTTAATAAGCAAATGTGAAAGTGCTGTGTTTATTTAGAATAAAGTTGTGAATAAATAATAATGATTGTTTATAAAAAATTGTATTTATTTTTTATCATTGATAATTTTTATTTGGGGCATATATTCATAAAGGATTAAAAACGTGTTCGAAACAGTTTTATTCATTACACGTGGTTTGCTACAGTAAGTGATATTTTTCCAGTGAAGTTTCACTTTGCCCTCCCTTCCCTGTAAGTCTATTAAACCAATTTGTAACATTCTTTTAGCATTGTTGTAGGTTATGTGTAATTTTTTTCAAAATCTATGTTGCTCTTTTGAAGACTGCATGTGATAGCTCTTTTATTAAAATCATGTAGGTTTTAACCATATATAACCATATTATTTACCATATTATTGCTTTCTTTTTTACTTTATCCTTCAGTAGTACATGTTTAAAGCATGAAACATATTTTTTCCTACATGTAATCATGTGATGCATTTTGCTTTTATAATATTGAGCACCATTTATAAAATGAGCCAAAGCAACTGAATAAGAATTTTAAATCAGTTGTGTGAAAAATTCTGTTTGTATTCTAGGTCAAAAACGTTTAATTGAAATTGGTCAAAAACTTTTAGTTGAAATTTGAGAGAAAGAGGGCTGGTATCTAAATTAACCACTTAATATGTTAATTTATCATAAATTATATTATGTATATTTAGTATTTTCAAAATTAGCTATTTTTTAAATTCTTATATTATGTTTTCTGCATGAGTCTAAAGAAGTTTCTGTTTTTTATTTAAGTTTTTGAATTTATTAAAATGATTACAATACAAATCTCTAGACTTATTGACTATAAGGAGATATGTTAAACATCCAAAACATCCAAACTTATACAAGCATCAAAAATAAAATAGAAAAGAAAATACAGTACAACTCCAATTATCCGAACTTCGACTATCCGTATCCCTGATTATCCAAATCACTTTCAGAATTTTTCAAAATCAACTGAAGAAGAGAAGGAAAAGATAGGAGAAGGTGAGGATAACGTGTCACTTTTAGGAATTAAGAAATATTCTTTTGGATGTTCAGAAGTTAGTGCTGAGGATACAACAGAATGGATGGTGTAGGATTCATCAGACTCTGAGTTTAAAATTCTAAATGATGGTAAACTTATTGAAAGTGTCGAGGAAGAAGATGACCATAATGTCGAAGTTGAAGCAAACACAGAATCATCAACTAGTGAAGCGTTTGCCAGCCTTGAAGTGGATGAAGCGTAAGCCTAAGTGTGACCACATGTATCTTTTCATTGTCAAGCAGATGTGGGACTTGGCTGCCCGAAAGCGGATGAAGACAGTCAAACAGCTCATTTTAACTGAGATGTTCAGGAAACAATAATTTTCAGCACTTGTAAGTCCTCTACAAGCACTTACAAGTGCTGAAAATACAACATGCATGTAAAAGTGTTGCATTTTCATTTTAATTAAAACCTCTTTTTCTTTAAAAATAGTTTTTTTTCTCCCGTTTTTAACATACAGTACACACAGTAATTAATTAAAGTGTACATATACCCTTTCTACAGAAAAAAATCTAGTTATCTGAATTGGGTCCAGTCCCAGTTTATTCAGATAACTGGAGTTCTACTGTATATTATTTTTAAAAAATGCTATGAAATAATAGATTTTGGATGACAGATTTTTAGTCTGAAGAAATCATTGTTCAGTTCGTCCAAAATGAGATAGATCTCTTGATACAGTAATGCCTGAATATGGGAGATGCATATTCATGGAAAACCTATTTCTAAATATAGAATATGTCTAAAAGAAACTAAAGTAATAAATAAAAGTATATAATTTACAGTGACGGAATCTGCGAAGTTAGTAAAGTACTAAAAGATATATGCTAAGGTACTTCTTCCTTCATTTGAAAAATCATTTATGATTCTGTCATGTTATTTACTCATGTGTTGATAGTTGTTTCTTATATTTTCAGAGGCAAAGTTCATGTCTGCATTAGGCGAAGGAGGAGTGAATGAACAAGCTCTTTCATTAGAAACTCTGGGAGAAATTTATGGGCCAATACAAAAGCGTATTCGAGATAACATTGCAAAACAGGAGCAGTTAGTTCATGACATTCAGGTATTATAGCATTGTGAATTCATATTTCTTGCTGTCCTTACAATGTTATTGAATTCATGATTGATCGTTTGCACCTGAGTAAAATTGGTCATTAAAAAAGAAATGTAAAAATTGTGCAATAAATTTGCCACCTGACTGTCATAAATTTGTTTATAAGTTTACAAAATAAAATAAATAAATAAAAAGTGTTGTATATATAATCTGTAAATAAGAAGAAATAACCAATTTTGATTTAATTTAATGTTAAAAAACTAAAATTAGAGTTTTTGATTCAAAATTTTCTAAGATATACATGAATTTACATATTTGCGCAGTTTGAAATTTGGCATCTTTTATTGAGCGATAATAACGCCAAATGTATGGATTTTGTTACAGTGAATTGCCACATCTAAAATTTAAAGGGGAATCTACTTCAATTAAGTTGGTGTTCAAAGAGAAAATATTTGGACTTATACACCAGTAAATAGCAACAACTGAGTTTGTGATTACGAAAAAGACAAAAACAATATCTTTGCAGATTAAAGTGAAGAGCGACTGTTTTTTTGACTACGTGGTTGTATAAATTTAATTTACTTCATAGAACATCATATCGTATCATAAACGGAGCATCTCATGATTTCTCAGTCGAATTATTTAAAGATTCCGGAATTTATCCAGTGACTTATATAGATATCGGCTAAAGCCATTTTGCCGCTTGATGAAACCAGTCTTTCCTTTCATCTCACGCCTTCCAAGTGCTTAGCCTGTAAAGACTGATAAAGGCTCTGACCAAATCTTGATGAAATTGATTGATTTAGATTATTAAGTTACGGCAAAGCCAAGCTACTGCCTTAAAGGAGTGATGCCTTCGTGAAAAACTTTCTAAGCAAAAACCAGCTCGTATACATGTTACACATGAGAGAAACCATGAAAACGCCCATGCAAGCAGCCCGTTCACCGGGATTCAAACACCACATCGAACTACCAGTATTTAGCAACTTTACTGCTCGGCCGTTTGTGGGCCCTTTTGAAATGGAAGGTGATAAATTTATTTAAAATTAATGTCAGTAATACCAATATGTTTTGAAAAGTTGGATTCTTTTTAATATACTTGCAGAATGCCTGAAAAAAAAGAGCAAGCCATTAAGAAGAAAAAATAAATTTTTTTGTAAAATTTAGTATTTTTTAAAAAATTTAAGTTTTTTAAATTTTGTGATATTAGATATCTTGCAATTTCAAAAATAAAATATTTGACTAAAATATGAACAACATTTTAAGAAATTAAATGCAGGATGATGAAATTGTGTAAAGCAATGGGCACAATGATAAAACTGTTTAAAGCAATATATTGAAGTCATCCTAAATTAAAATGTCGGATATATATCTCTCTCTTTTATATATCTTTTTTGAATGGAACATTCAAAGGCATGTTAACTGTGCTTTCCTGTATTTTCTCTTTTAATATATGCAGTTTTCAAACGCTTAATAGTCTGGCTCACAAAGTATTCTTCCAAAAGGAACACAATTGAAATAAATAAAATAAAATTCTGGAAAATTTATATTAATAAATATATTTAAAATGCGCAGTTCGAATGAATGAATAGAAAATTTTAAAACAATTATCGGAAGAGACAATGCAACACAAAAAATTAAAATAAAAGTCTAAAAATTCAAAAATTACCTAAAATAATAACTATGACTAAAAATATAGTATAAAGGAAACTATTTGAAAAATAAATAAATAAATAAATAAACGATGCACCTTTTATTTAAACTACACAGTTTGAATGAGTAAATAGAAATTTTTAAAACAGTTATTTGAAAGAAACCATGCAACTTAAACAACTAAAAAAATATTTAAAATAATAACATAAAAATGTAATATAAAGAGCATTATTTGAAAGAAAGAATGAAGTTTTTTTTTTCCCTCATGCACAATGTAAAAACAAAAAAGAAAATGGTTTGCCATATATTAAGAAGTTTGGCAAGTGAACTATTCTTGGCGATAAATTTTTGAATTTCTCCATAAATTTCAAACCAAATTTTACAAAATTTAATATTTATGCACAATTTGAGTCGTAGAATCAAAATATGTAAAAAAATTGGTATGTTAGAATGTAAAATACCTATGTAAAATACCTATGTTAGAATAGTGCTATATTTAAATCTAATATATATCCTAAGTCGTGCTTTTGAGACATGAAAAACGCAATTTGAATTTTGTCAGTCGGCCCAGTAGAACGCGAGATATAGAACTGTCCCTTTTTGTTTCCCGCAGTGTACATCATTAACATGACATATAAGAAAAAATTTACTTATCCTTGCCATTGATGCAACTGAAAAAAGTTCAAAACAAATTTGTCAAATTCTTAGTTTTCTAACCAAAAATGCAGCAAATATAGTTTAAATGAGGAAAAAGAAAATCTGCATATACTTTTATAGTTATTCAGCTCATATACTTAGTTTATTGGTGAAAAACTTAAGTATATCAAATACTATTGAGTATGTTATTTAAATCATAAGCTATAGATATCACTTTTGAAATCACCAGCTTTCTAGAGCCACAGTTAACCCTTTAAATTACAAGTAAAATTATACACAACTAACACCACCAAACACAAAAATTTGAGAAAATTAAGATAATGCAAAATTTCTTTATTTATATTATATTTAGCTTCAGAGAGGTTAGTAGCATCATAAAAAAAAAAAAAAAAAAAAAAAAAAAAAAAAAAGGGGGGGCGAGGGTAACCTTATATTACTAAACAATATAACAACAATTTACAGATATTTGCCTAAACCTATAATCTTATAAACATACTTACAAACTTACACTGCTAGCATATAAACTTAGACTAAATAAAATGCTCCTATAAACGACAGAATCAAAAGTTTTTTTGACTGTGGTATATTCTAAAACACTCTTTGGTGGTGTGACTACAAACATGGCATATGCTTTGGCCTTTTCTTCTCCCAGCAATGGGCAGAACATTGTCCAAAAAATGTCTTTCGATGAAATTACAGGCGGCTCGTTGGCCAAGCAATTCTCCACTTCATCTACCAGGTCGAACTGGAATAAGGGTTCTGCGTTTTGATAAAATTTGTAGTATAATGTTTCTAATAAAGTCTTTCAATAACAAGTCATTGCTTCCTGTTTTTACCAGAAATATATCATATGAATTCAAAATATAAATGTCTATTTAAGATCAAAGATATATACCATAGATTTTTTGGTAATTTAAATCATTTTTCTTTGAAAAATTCAAGTAGGTGTACTATGTTCAAATCGATTAATTATTGATTGATTAATGTAAGGATATTTCTACGCATTTTATTTATCAGTGGGCTTATTTCCATGTGAGCATATATCACTGTGAGCTTTTTTCCGCTTGAGCATATTTCTAAGTGAGCATTTTTCCATGTGAGCTTTTTTTCTATGTGGGCATATTTTTGTGTGGGCTTTTTTCCTGTGAGCATTTATACTGCAAACCGGGATTATTACGAACCAGAAAATCGACAGACTAAATAGTTCGAAAATGGAGGGCGTTCTTGAAAATTTGAAAAAGAAACGATCGGTTGTAAGACAATTAACTATGAAACTGATAACCAAAGTCGAAACGAATTTAGCAAATAATATTCCGCTAAATGAGAAAATTGAAATAATCGAGGATTTGTATGAACAGTTAATTGAAAAAATCAACGAACTGAAAAGTTTAGATTCAGAAATCGAAACGAAAGTAACTTCGGAGGAGATTGAAAATGAAGTTACCTTAAGTCAAAAATACCTGGATAAAAACGGTTATGGAGAGGAAGAATGCAACGATTTTTTAAAAGGAATTCGGAATGCTCTAGAACAGTTCATCAGAACGACACGGCTAATGTTGCACTTCCAGATGAAACGAAAACAGTGAAATTACCACGTCTGCAAATCGGGAACTTATTACAGAGATTCGTGTAAATGGTTGGACTTTTGGAACTAGTTCGAAAATACAATTCACAATCGTAGTGGATTGAGAAAAACTGAAAAATTTGCGTACCTAAAATCCTTACTTGGCGGTAATGCTTTAGCTGCCATTTCCGGTTTCGCTTTAAGTGACCAGAATTATGATTCCGCAATAGAAATATTGAAAGAACGTTTTGGAAGACAAGATGTTGTTATCATCACTTCGCATATGAATAAATTATTATCCCTTGAACCAGTGGGAAACATTTCAAATGTTAAAGCACTGCGTAAGCTGTACGATGAATGCGAAGTCAACATTCGAAGTTTAGAATCGTTAAACGTTACTTCTGGAAGTTATGGAAATATTCTCTGTCCTATCATTTTGCAGAAATTTCCAGAGGAATTAAATTTGGAATTTAATCGAAGTCGAAATATGGAAGCAGGATTTGATATAAAGGAACTTATAGAATTCTTAAAAAAGGAAGTTAACTGTCGAGAAGCTGCAAGTTTAATGAACTCTGCGAAAACGAATCAGAAACCATACTTTCGTCAAAATGAACAACGCACGAAAGTTTATCCGAATTATAAACCGAAAGTTTCGACTGCTTCAGCTTTATCAACAATTGGATACAAATGTATATTTTGTGATAAAGAAGACCATACGAAATATAAATGTACTGAGGTGAACTCTGAAGAGAAACGCAACATTTTGAAACGTACAGGAAAATGTTTTCTGTGTTTTGGATGTAAACATTTAGCTATCAACTGTAAGAACAAACAGTTTTCCTGCAAAAAGTGCCGCGGTAAACATCATGAAAGTGTGTGTGTAAATCCCACATCAGCTGTCTCCAGTGTAAAAAATAAGGAAACCGAAACATCGGCGGAAATTGTTCAAAATTCTTCTGCCAAAACTGGATCTAATATTATGCTTCAAACGGTGTATGCTGTGGCTGAGGGCAGAAATAAGAATTGTATTGTGAGATGTCTTCTTGACGGCGGTAGCCAAATCTCTGCAATTCGAGAAGATTTATCAAGAAAATTACAATTACCAGTGAAAGGAGAAACTGTTTTAAATCTGCATACCTTCGGTGAAAAGAACGGGAAACATTGGCGTCGAAAGAAAGTTGAACTTACGCTCCGAAATATTAATGACCCTGAAAAATCCATAAATCTCGAAGTCATTGAAGTACCAGTCATAACAAATGCCGATATACGAGTACCAGATGTAGAAATAAAATCCAACCTCCAAGCATTCGGCATCACTTTGACAGACTGCTGCGGCGCCGATGGAATGAGTCATATTTCGGTTTTAATCGACGCGGACATTATTTGGAAAATAGCAAGGGAAAAAATAAAAAGGATAAACAGAAATGCCGTAGTGATGAAAGCCTTGTTTGGGTGGTGTATACTAGCAAGGGAAGAAATAAAAAGGATAAACAGAAATGCCATAGCGATGAAAACCTTGTTTGGGTGGTGTATACAAGGCAAATTCTCTTCATCGGACTTCCAAATCCATTATGCGTGTTTCAACGTAAGTGTAGAAGAGAAACTTCTAAAAAGCATCGAATCGTTTTGGGATATTGAATCTATAGGAATTAAAAATATTTCTGATGAAGAACAAAGTGAAATGGCCTTACAAGTATTTAACAACTCGATTACACAAAAAGGATCAGATAAGATACCTGGAAGCCAATGATATAATGAAAAAAGCATCAATAACTTTGACCAAATGAAATTCTAATTCGGATGCTGTAAACAACCAGTACAAATAAAGTGACAACTTCGTTAGCTTTAAATCGCCTGACTGTGATTCCCCTTCAGATATTCTTGGACTTCAATGGATACAATTAAGGATATCTTCTGTTTTAATGCACAAGACGTTATTGATTTCATCCAGTCAAATGACCAAACAAAACGTTGTGTTTTTAAAAGCTGCTTCAAAAATCTTCGATCCTGTTGGGTTTCTTGCTCCATATGTTATTCAAGCAAAAGTTCTGTTTCAGGATTTATGGCTGAAAGGTGTTGATTGGGATGAAATTATCCCACCAGAATTGCAAGACAAGTGGGACAAATGGTATAGGCAACTATGTGATCTACCTAATATCCAGATACCTCGGTGGTATTTTCGTGATGTTGATGAAACACCTGAAACACTAGAACTACATTGTTTTTGTGATTCATCTCAAAGTGCTTACGGAGCAGCAGTGTACGTGAAATTCCGTAGCTTAAAATATTGTGGAACAAGTTTAGTGATAGCCAAGAGCAGAGTGGCTCCCCTGAAAAAATTATCTTTACCAAGACTCGAGCTCATGGCAGCAGTGTTAGGTGCAAGACTTGTAACTACAGTCCGTGTGTATTTTCCTCAAGCTAAGATTCATTTATGGACAGATTCTCTTATTGTGCTTCATTGGATAAAGAACTCACCACGGCGATGGAAAACATTCGTACAAAATCGAGTGTCTGAAATTCAAGACAAAACATCCCCGAGCATGTGGCATCATTGTCCTGGCTCAGATAATCCGGCCGATAAAATCACACGTGGTGTTAAAGTGAGTGATCTTGTAGTAGATCAAGTGTGGTGGCATGGACCTCCATGTCTTCATCAAGATGAAATAAATTGGCCTAAAGTGAACGAGCATTGTAACATAGTAGATAGTGTAAGAAAGAGTTGTGACTCAAGTTACTAGCAGTGTTCAACCTTTACAACCTGTGTTAAAAATAGAAAACTTTAGTGACTTAGGTAAACTTTTAAGAGTCACGTCATATGTATTTAGATTCATTAATAATTTAAAGTCACAGAATAGAGTGATTGGTCCTGTGACCAAAAATGAAATATGTAATGCTATGTGTTATTGGATTATCTTATCACAAGGTGAGTATTTTTTTGCAGAATTGAATGATGTTAAATGTAAAAAACCATTGTCTCATAATTCCAAATTGTTTGGGTTAAATCCAGTAATGGATGAAAAAGGTTGTTTAAGAGTTGGAAGTAGATTAGCAAAATCATCATTAGATTTCGTGATTTGAAATAATAGTTTTTGATTCACAGTGCTACAGCGCAGATATAAATCCTAGCTAAAATAAGGTACAGTTGATGCAGAGCCTCCCCTGAAAATTATCTACCAAACTCGAGCTCATGGCAGCAGTGCTAAGTGCAAGACTTGTACCCTTTGCAGTTTGTTTACCACCCCATGCCAAGTCATGCCACCCTGTTAAGCAAAAAATGGCTTCTTTTTACTATTATGTTTTCCACGCGCTAAAAGTTTGTTCCTCTGAATCTTTGTTTACCGATGAACTTAATTATTTGAGAGCAGTTGCGATTGACCGTGGATTTTCTCCCGTGATTATTGATAAAGCCGTCAAAAAATTTTCAGATTCCCATCAAAGAAGACATTCCACTGTTAGAAATAATATCAATGACCTTGTCGTGCCTCCATTTTATCCTTCTGTTAGCTATAAAATTGCACGGATTCTCCAGAAATTCAATTTTCAAGTCGGTTTCTCCCCTATTAATAAAATTCACCCTTCGATTCTAAAAGATTGCGTTTCTGTCTTGAATTCTTGGGGAATTTATAGTATATCATGTCAGTGTGGTTTAAGATATATTGGCCAAACAAAAAGAGCGTTGAAGTTTCGTATCAAGGAACATGAATCTTATGTCAAAAAAGGGGAAATTAACAAGTCTTCAATAGCGTATCATAGCTGGACTTTTAACCATAATTTTGATTTTGGGTCTGCAAAAATCATCCAAAAGGCTTCTTCCATAGGCGAATTGGATTTTCTTGAGGCTTTTCACTTTCACAAAGATTTAGAAAGTTTAGTTAATGATTTGAAGTCCAATCCAGTCCTTCCTAATGCCTTTAAAATTCTACTTTCTTAATTCAATTATTTTTGCCGATAGATGGCATTACCTCCTCGCACTTGGTACTACCAGAGGGTATAAAAATCCGTTCAGTGGTTGCTTTCCATTATTTGAAGTTCAGATTTTGAGCGTAATGTGCATTTGCCCCTCGCTCCCTATTTTAACTTCGCTAATATTTCTTTATGCTTGATCAGACAGCCTGGCTCAGTAAAAGTAGGCGGCCAGTGCAACTCTGATTAAAAATCTAGTTATATCCACGTGCAGTGCTGATAAGCACCACGTGTTTCTGTGATTCCTATTTTCTTCTTTCTATGTATTTCTTTCTCCTGATGAGGAGGGACCTTTAGCTGCCCTCGAAATCGATTGAGTGTTGCATTATACCTACGCTAAATATAAGGTTGTTTTTTACGATTTTGATCATCATTAGATGTTGATGAAATTCAGCCTATTATATTACCAAATAATTATTTTGAACTGTCATGAAAAGGTACATCATAGTGGTGTAAAGGAAACTTTAGTGCAGTAAGAGGGGTAAGTGCAAGTAAGAGTAAGAAACTTTAAACATATGCAACTTTTCTGTATATGTGTAAGATTAAAAAAATATATATGTAAATAAAAAAATTTTGTTTTTGTTTTTGTTTTTGTTTACATATATATAACACAATACCTTAACTCTAGTTTAATTTGGTTATTTTCCATTTTCTCTCCTAGCAATACTAACTACTTATAATAAAATACTCTAAACTGCATCATTTCAAAAATCATTATATCATATGATTCTTGCATAGCACTAATGATGCAGACACTTACATAAAGCTCCTACTAGTTATAATTTAAGAAACTTAAAATTAACCAATCAAAATAAACCCAAACTAAATAATTTTGAATCAGGTGTTATCTTGACATGTTGCATTCACTGTCTGCTTTTCTGTGTAACTATCAATTCTTTTCATATCACAACATTTTAAAAATTCAAATATACTTTCAGAACAGGTGCGCTTACTGCGCCAATTTATCAGTGATGCATTAAAAGTGTTTATCATAGAAAATAAAGAAATATTATCTAGGGCCATGATTACAATTACTTGGTTATGCATCTATATTTCTACATTATCTAAATTATTGCCTACATGCAGTATATGTGTGTGCGTAATAATTTGTTATTATTTGATTGCTTCCATCAAAGCTCAATATATGTCAAGTTGATAAATGAACCACAAGTATCTTATATTAAAAGTACATTTTTAAATTTTCTCTGATAGATCTGTATGTGTAAATCAGTCTTGTGATTGCTTTGCAGGTGGCAAATAATGAATTTTCTCAAGAAAAAAATACTGGGGGTTCTGCTGGTAGGAGAGAAAGCATGTTAAGTGATTTGGCTTCAGCTCATGATGCATATATGGAATTACTTCGAAATTTGGAAGAAGGTTCTAAGGTACATACATGGAATTATGCATGCTTAATTATCTCAATAAATTTCTAATTTAAGTCATTGCAGTTGTAAATATATTTTATGTTTTGAGAATTTTAAATAATTTCCTATTTAAAATTAATGAAATTCATTTCAAATTTAATAATTCTAAAATGTTTGTTTTATGTGTAGACATACCATTGTGCTTTTTCATTTATGCAATTGAATTGTTGGTGTGCAAGTCTACTAAAACTAGATTACTCACTTCACATGTGTGTCATATTTTAGTAATTCTTGCAGCATGTTAAACATTTTCCACTCTAATTATTGTTGAAATTTAGTCATTCAGTCTTTGAGCAATGCCTGAAGTGTTCATCAGCTGTTACAATATTTGTTATTTAAATATCAAATCACATCTTGTCACTTGGTAAAATAAAACAAGGACAAGTAACAGTTAGAGTCAGAGTCATGCCATACACCATTTTCAAATACAGTAATTAATATTATTCATATATAATGTTTTACTTTCCTCACCCATCAAAAAATCTGGAACAATGTATTTGAAGATGAAATTGTGCTGAACACTATTCATTTAGAAATTAGATTTTTATCAAGTGATTGAATTAAAATGAGTAGTCACATTTATCAAGTGTAGAATTAAAATGAGTGGTAAAGAGCTCCACTTTGCTATAAAATGTGATATATTTCCTGAAATAACTTTGGAAATGGCTAGCATAACAGGTCATTATTTGCAGAGCCAGCTACTTTTATTTTTCAAAGTTATCTGCATGTGTAAAATTATCCATGTTTTATTTTGAAATTCTGGTCCATATTTTTGTTGCTAAGAAATTTTATATAAGAAAAATCGTTTAATTTAACTCCTAGGATTATCTTATACATCTGAACTCATATATTATCATTAATTAATAATTTATCATGCCTTTCCTTTTTAGTTTTACAACAATCTGACTGAAGTTCTAGTTAACTTTCAAAACAAGATTAATGATTTTTGCTTTGCTCGGAAAACTGAAAAAGAGGACTTCTGTAAAGATCTTCAGAAAAACATAGTGACTGAAGCAAGCCAGCCTACCCCCTTGGCACCTCCCCGTCACAATGGTAAGTGTCCATTTAAATTAATCTTTAACCCTTTGACGGACGGTGGGACGCCAGGCATCCCACATTTTTTATCAGTTTTCATCTCCCAGATGAAAGCTGCAAAATTCCATTTAAAATACATACAATTATGCCTTTTAGTTCTCTAAATTTATAACAGATGGCAGCACTAGTATTCATTCATAGAAATAATGTAAAATAATAATTCTTTGCAGGTCTAATTTTGAAGCAGTTTTTTTCATTTATTTCTGATGCAATTTAAATCATCTGAACAACTTTTGGTGTTAGAATGAATATTTTTATGTGAAAGTTTACTTTTCTAAAAAAATTATTATTTGAATTCATATATATTAAGAATGGTTGAAATTAAAAGGTGGGACCAAATACATCCCATCGCGCATGTGGGAATTCCCGCTACTAGATAGCAAATATTTTTAAATTCAAGTATCATGTTCATTTTATATGTTGATAATGTAAATTTATATTTTTAATAAATTGGAATAATTTAATTTTTAATAAATTGAAAAATGTGTAGTATTTTTTTTGAAAGAAATGAAAATATAACTCTGTATTATGAAATGTCATTGAATACTGAATGGGTATGTAAGTGTGATTCACTGTAGAAAAATATCCTAAGCAGAGGAAAAGGAGATTAAATGTAAATCATGACGGCCTTCTAAATATCTTTCTTTTCAAACGTGTAGCAAATTAAGTACTGGAGCGAAAATCTTCTCTGTTTCAAATCTATTATGAAATCATAAAAAATAACTAAAAAGTCATACAGACTGATTTTTTTTTTAAATTATGTAATTTTTTTGAAAAAAATATTTTTTATTTTGCAAATATGATCAATAGTTTCTAGATAATTATTCAGGAACGTTTTTTGTATCTTGCATTTTCATTTGGTTGCTAAAACTAGCACTTTAGATAAGCATGTTAGGAGAATTTACGCTCAGGCAAGGATGCCATTTTACTGCTGTAGATGTATGGTGGGACAAGCGGTATCCCACTATGTCATGAATTACCTATATATATATATATATATATATTGTGCATGAAATAACATTGTATTAGTGCCAGTTATCTATGTGTAAAGTTAGTTTTAACCTCAAAGGGTTTATAGGACTAAAAAGGTAAATATGGTTTTGTTACAAAATGAATATCAGTTTAAATATCTTCAGTTTATGGAGTTTTCTTCCAGTAATAATGTTACTATTGTCTTAATCATTTATAGTCTTCTGAAAATTATTATTTAATATAATAGTAATAATATAGATTATTGTATTTTTTTTCCCATGTCTCCATAGTTATTATTGATATAAAGCAGTATAAATCTCATTTATAACAATGAAACTGACTTCACAGGTTTCAAAAAATATCAGTAGTGCAATTTTACCTGTACATTCAATGTCTTGTTGTATAAACAAATTGTAAATAATAACAGCCATATAGTGTTTTCCGAACGAGCCTGGTAACATAATTATATATGTAAGAAATGTAAAGAATATGTAAAAGATTAAATTATCAGCGTAAATTAATTTCCCTTCTCTATTCTAAAAATAGTAACCTCTCTCTGCACTGTGTCATTTCTAGATTAATCCATGTCATATGACTCTTACATAATTCTGGTGATGTAAATGGAACTAAAACTCAAGCAGCCAATAGTAATTTTACAGCAATATTAACTATCCAATCAAAATGCATCGAGAACCAAAACTAACTCAGTCTGAATTAAGATTTCACCCTGAACATAACTCACTTGCTTTCTACACTTTGGCATAGCTGCACTGCAGTCTGTCCGCTCCTTCTACCTTTCTGCAAATTTATCTAAAATCTTAATCTTTTTGGGATAGGCACAATTAATGTACCAACTTGTTTGTGGCTGCAACATGTTGCTGAAATAAAAAATGAAGATTTAATCTGCCTTCACCTCTAATTTCCTATTCATTATGGATAAGCAATTCTACGCCATCCAAAATTTCTGCTTCATTACTTCTAAGTTTGTTTTTATCACAACACAATTGAGTCAAGAGATTCAAGAGATATAATTTCCTTGGTGCGTGTCACATTCTACAAAACTTGTAAATGGTAGTTAATGATTTTTATTCATTTTCCCCATCCAAGAATTTTATACACTGAGCTTAATGGTAATTTGTTTTCTGTATTTTGCCTAATAGAAAATATTCTATATTCTTATATTGGTCCTGAAGATAAAAGATCACATTTCTGTCTTTTTTGTAATAATTGTGGAATTATAACAGGTAAAAACAGAATTATAACTTGCTAATTGCTAGTTATTATTTAGTTTAAACTATAGATTTTTGTCTCCTGAATAATAAAAAAGCATTCTTACTTCTATCAGTCATTGAAGCAACTTTCTTGGTATTTATTCTGTTATCAGTTTCCTACATCTCCTGACATAGTGCAGGTTTGTGTTAATAATTAGCTAATATTTCCAAATATTCATATCTTTTATAATTTTTTTAAGAAGTGGGAGTTGTGATTTATTGAATTATTATTATTTATTATTTTTTAATTTATTTAAAGCGGCATAGAAATGGCATTTCCAGTTTATTCTCACTTCCACCCAAAAAAACTAAATGTGATTCTGTGATAAATCTGATATAGGGAAATTTTCTTTAATAATAAAGGCCTTTGAAAAGTATCCTTAGTAGTCAGTTTATAATAGCTAATTACTTTGTATCAAAATTTAATATTTTAAAACTAAAAACTGCTTTAAAAAATATTTTTTTGAATGTTCTTTTCAAAAAAGCCAAAAGCATTAATTTTGTATACTATTTATGGAATTTGGAAATTTGGTTCTAGTTATTTTTAAAATGTGATGTGCACTTTCCTCATTAATACTGATGTATTATATAAGCAAGTCGTTTGATGTTGTAGCTGTTCAGAAACCAGCAAGACCACCTCCTCCAACAACCAGTGCAACTACAAGTGCACCTTCTTCACAGACTTGGAGTTATCCTCCAGCAACACCAGATGCTGCCTCTCAACAACAGCCACAACAGCCACTGCCTTATCCTGCATATACTGGTTATCCCTATCCTTATCCTCCAGGTCCTAATGTATACAATCCATATGGCCAGATTGTAATGCCACCATATCCACCAGGTAAATATATTTTTTAAATTCATATGAAGGAATAAAAGTTACAAATATGGATCATATCAGATTTACAAATACTTAGTCATAATGTTAAAAAAAATTCTGTTAGGAAGTTTCTTTAGATTGCTGATGTTTAAACTGTCCTACTACTCTATTTTAAAATATCCAATGTGGACACCACTTGACTTCCTTGTATGGTTTATTAAATTATGAAAATTTTTTGCTGCAGTTCATTTGAACTTATTTTCTCAAATTTCATTAGGGGTATATTTCTCAAGGCAAAAACATATAAAAACTCAAAGCATCTTCATAAAAATTGTGTACAGAAAAATATAAAACAAGTACAGTTAAAAAAGAAAAAATTTTTTACAATTAAAATAGAGTTTCTATGCAAAAACAAGCAATTTGGCCAGCAAGCAGGAATACAGATTCTTTTGTGCATAAAATTGAAAGTTTACTTTTGGTCGCAGTTGGCAAAAAAACACTGAAGTTGGTGCACAAATTGACTTAATTCACTATTTTATTAAGAGTTTCAAATGTAAACAAATGGGTTAGGCTTAACACCACTTTAACATTTTAACTATTGATAATTCTACAACTATTGCATGCAGATTAACTAAAGGCATAAAAAAACTTAACCAGAACATAAAAGCAGCGTAATTCAATCCCTATTAAAGCAAAAAATGTACAATTTACCAACAGATAAGAATAAAAAAAACTGAGCTCACTAAGCCAGGTAAGAGTAAGTATATATTTATGTATGTTTGGTGCGGATTGCAGCCAAAAAAGGAGGGACACGACTACATGTTATAGCAATCCCATATAACATTCTAAGGCTACTCATTTTTGAGTCAAGTGAGATACATACATTGATAAGGATGAGAATGAGAAATTAGCATAAAAGTGGAATAAGGCAACAGAAAGGACCAGAAAACCAATCAGTAAATAGACTTGGGACCAGTACATTAGGGCATGTGCATACATAGCACATGACTAAGGAGGAAGAGAGTGTTGGAAGGGTATAAAGCACTCAGGTGGTGTACGATCAGCTACTGCTCTGTGTAAAGTGATTTCAAATATGTCAAGTTGTTACTACCATGTGATATGGCCAATAGACAATCCAGGAGACATCATCTGGATGACTTTACCCCAGTTCATGTCAGTGGGAAGTTAGAAGAAAGTCGAAGTGTGACATGTGTGGCGTAGGAGTTCAGGTCATTCACTGCATCGGTTCACTAACCCAGAGAGTATTTCAAGCGACAGGAGCACCTATTTGAGCATTTTGCAATGGTTATCTATGAACAACAACGGCAGTGGGCAATTGTATATTTCCCTTCTAATCAAAAGAGGCAATTGGCAGACAGCAGGAAATATAGCATGATACACAAAAACTACTGATATATACTACTTAATATCACATTTTTAACTTGGCCAGGAGGTTGCGCAAACATGGTGTGTATGCGTGATGACCAGTACGGTATATGCTGATAACACCTGTTTATTACAGATGCCAATTTATGCAGTGTTGAGAACACAAGAACTGGAGACAACAGGAGTGAGGACGAGTGCTATTTATGGATGAAGTTCAGTTTAGCCTGATGAGTGATTCTAGAAATAATACAGGTCTGGCGAGAGAAAAGGAAACACACAGTCACTCCTCAAACATCATAAAAAAAGAGACCATTTAGAAGTTGCCAGAGTTTTCGTTTGGAGTGGTATCATACTTGGTAGCCATATTGATCTCCATTTCTTCCAAGGAGGTTTAGTCACTGGTGTCTGCTACTGTACTAAGGTTCCTGAAGTTCTGTTTAAAGGTGCTGTGGATCCTGACATCCTCTTTGTGGATTACAATACTACACTTCATCATATAGCAGCTATCTCGGAGATCTTCGAAAGTGAAACTATTCAACTCATGAATTGACTTGCAAAATCCACAGACATAGATCTCGTAGAATACAACTGGGAACCTACTTAAGAGATGCTTGCACACGATCAACTGCCAGCAATGATTTCGCAGCTGAAATTTGCACTACAAGAGGAATGGGGAGTGTGATTTCGCAGCTGAAATTTGCACTACAAGAGGAATGGGGAGCGATGCCTCAACAGCTCATTGACAACCTTGTCCTCAGGAGAGATCATATTTCCTTATAAAGACTGTATTTTCTTAAAAGCCTTCCGTTAGACATTTTTGTCTTCTCTCCAGTCGTGCTGAGCTACTTTTTCAATAAAAAGCCCTTCTAAACTTCTGATTTCATGTTTGAATGGCTTTGCTCACTTGTCTCGTATTTTCACATCTGAGTTCACTAAGCCAGGTAAGTATTACTAAGCCAGATAAGTACTCACTAAGCCAGATAAGTCTTGGGTATTTTATGGCATAATATTTGTCAATGGAGAATTCTGCACAACATTACAATCGAAAAACAGGCTCGTCCTTAAATTTTGCACACGTACAGACATCAAGAAAAAAGTCACTTTTTAAATCAATTTTACAATACATTTTGGATAAAATGTGTTGTTTATTCTATCTGTAAATACAGATGCCATGCAGAAACATCATTCAAAGGGATTCAAGAGTGGTCAAATAAATATTTTCATTAAAATATTATACCTGAAATATTTTGCGATTACAATCCTTCCTTTACCTTCATACAAGGGGGGGGGGAAACCCAGAAAACTGACCATAAAAATAGAATTTAATTATTTTCTTACTTTTGCTGTCAAATTTAATTTTAATGGCTTATTTATTTCTTGAAAGCATGAAAAACTTCTGAATTCTGATGTACATTTTTTGAGAATCATTAACAACGTTGAAGAATAATTGAAGTTTTGATTATGTAAAGAATTAGTCAATCTGATTGAATAATCTGTAATCTTACTTTTTTGAAAGGAGAAAACAATTTTAGAAAATATAACCATTTTAATATTCCATCTTCCTATGGCATTTTAAGATTAAGTTTTTATACATTTTATCACCATGTATTGAAATGATTCTGGCTGTATATTGACAAAAAGCATTAAATATGAGTATATTTATTTATGCATACACTGTCTGAAATTATTAAAATTGAATGTCATTTTTCTTCATGATGTTAGAATCTAGATCAGAAATAACTGCAGTGTTGAGCACTAATAATAAAATTTTGCACTAAGTGATAAAAACAATATCTCTTAACAGTGATGTCAATTCAACTAGTTTTGTGAGACAGAGAATTAATCATATTCATGAAAATGTTCCTGCTAACTGCAAGATGCATCTGTCTAAATGAGAGTTTTAGAACATTAAGATAAGAACATTTAGCCTTGCTTTGTCTGAAACTATGTATGCCTTTTATATGCTATGTCACATTTTAGTTACTTTGATTCATCAAGAAAGAAAATGTTAGAGGTATTACAAAATCATTGTTGCACTGGTGGTAGACGTATTGCAGGCTACTTGACAAGCTTTGGTATTGCTCATAAATTAAGAATTATAATGTTAAGTAAGACATTATTAGGAAGTTAGTGTCTAAACATGGTGTCTCATAACTTTAATGACTATAAACTGTTTGACATTGGCCTTCAGATTGGAATTTGTGATGCACTTTTATTAGATTTTTACCTTTATGTGGGCAACTACATACTCTTTTTCCATTATTAATCAGTATGACATGAAGAAGTACACTATCTTTTAGCTTGCAACAACTGCACTTTAGGTATGAAAATCCATGTCTTAAGGAATTTAGTATGAAACAGAAAATATAGATTAAGATAGTGTGTATATACTTTAAAAGAAAATTGTTAAAATTTTTTATTCTACATGTAGCAAAATTTAAACTTGTGGTTTAAAAAAAAAAAAAAAAAAAAAAAAAAAGGAAATGCTGCAAGTAAATGAATAATATTCTTTTTCTAACATAAATTCTGATTTTAATGTGATGATTATCAACCTTAATTTTTTTTAATTTTGCTTTATCTGAAATAATATCCTTGGGAGCTTTGCTTGGCTGTAGTGTAAATTTGATTCCAGTTCATAGGATTTATTACCTATAGTAGGCTTTCTTACATTTATAAAATAGTTAGAAATAAAACGATTTATTTACGATTGATATAAAAAAATTTTTTTTGAAGTGTATACCTCAAATTTCGCAAAATTACATCTGTTGTAATTTACTTTTTAATAAATGATAGTTTTTACATACCTTTGTAAATTGTTAAATATTCTACAATTCATAGCTAATGTTTGAAAAGGTTTTAAATTAGTTCTTATAAAGAACTACCTAATTAATAAGCTATAATATAATGAATTACTTTTTATTAAATATTAAGATGGAATAAAGCTTATTTCTGACAAACATTCTTATACAAATTTTTTCTCTCATCCCATTTTTCTTTTCAAATTATAATTTTTTTCCCTTCTAATGACAGATGAACATTTCCTGTAAGAAGCTTCATTAATTCATTATAATTTTATACACTTGATCTGTTAATAATATAGCTTTTCTTTTTGGATTATTATTTGTAATAGAATGACTATTTTAGATTTACATGATTAACTAAATTAATTACAATATTTAATGACCTAAACATGAAAGCTTTTTCGCAGGTATAGATTAAAATTACATTTCATTCATATTCAAGTGGTACAATGATCAAGAAATTGTTCTTATTGTGGAACAATTCTTTGAAGAGTAATATTTTTTGTGTGAAATTAATTGTATTTGTAATATGATATAAACGCATTTATGTTATTCAATAATTTAAAACATTAATTTCTCTGTTATTAGCTCCTGGTTATCAAGGACAACCACCACTCCAACAGCAACAACAAGCAACATATGCTACATATCCTCCAACTTCAAATTATCCTTACCCCCAACAGCCTTACAGGCCATGGCCACAATAGTTGACATGCAGAACTCTCTGCCTTGAAATGTGATTGATTACTTACATTGTTATAAAATTATCTTACAATTTATGCAAGTGCACAATATAAGGCTAAAAAATATGAATTTGAAATTAAAATTTTATGAAATGATTCCACTTTAGTTAATTCATTTACTTTAACATTTTTATATCAGAAGTATTAAAATGTTATATTACTCTAATGCAAATTGACCATACAATTTAATATGTGAGTTTCTGCATATGGCCTTCCTTTATAATGTTGCTTATGCATATATGTATGTGCGATATGTAAATTTCCATATAGTGTTGATGCTATTAAATTTGATTGTATAAAATAAAGTAATTTATTTCTAAGTTGTTTTAGTTTCATAAAATATGCTTAACATGAGATATAAACTTTATTTTTTACAATATATGCTTCAAAACAATTTGAAAATAAAACAGTTGGAAACAATTTTTTAAAATTTTCCAATTTTATTCATCCTTTATTTTTCCTGTTTCCACTACCTCGAGGATTCTCTGAAAAAAAAAAAAAAAATGTTTCATACATAATACATATCATAATTTATATCTCACTGTAATGCAGAAAATATTAGTCTTAAATATAAATTTTTGCATTGTTAATAATGGTATTAATTTATTAAAACACCATGAGAACCAGAATATTAAGGTAATAAATATTTTAGAAGAGGAGTGGGTGTAAGTGAAAATTACTATATAAAGTTAAATTCAAGGTGCAAGCATTTACAAATAATTTAAATTATTTTTTATAACTAAAGGATAAAAAATAGCACAAAATCTTAACAAGACTCCCAATTTTGAATTTACATTTTTCTGAAAAATTTTTTTATGAATCTGCTTATCTAGAGGTAGCATTAAAAAAGTTGTAAAATTAACAAGATTTGCCACTATTTAGCAACTTTTCATGAAGTTCTAAAAATCTGGATGGTTGTCAAACTGATCAATTCACATAACAGAAATATAATCAATGGAGGTAAAAAGTAAACATATTTTGGATGTTGATGGACTAATGAATAATGAAAACTGATGAAATAAAAAAAAGCTAGAATACAAGAAATTCTGAAAGTTGTGTATCTTACTATATAGATGGCTCATATGTCATTTTAGCATAATACAAATAGTACACACTTTACAGAATAATACAGACTTTGAATTTAATGTATAGCAGAGATGAGATGTTTTGAAAAATGATCAAAGCTAAAATTATCAACAATACAATTAATGAACTCAACTGACTTAAAAGTTTCAAAAATGCATGCCCACTAGTGGCCAAGTGATAAAACTTCTAATAGTTCAATGAGGCTACAAATCTAGGCAAACGGGTTGGCTGTATAGGGGTTTTCATGGTTTTTTTCGTGTAACAGGAACACATATCAGTTTTCCTTAACGTTCATTTCTTTTTATAAATTATCATAATTTTTTGATGATCACTAGACTTCTAAAACTTTTGCTGATTATTTTTCACCAGCCTAAATTTATTTCAGTGCATTGCAAGCTAGTGGGGACTGTAATTATGTCAAAATTTTACTGCCTTTTCTTGTAATCTTGTGGTATATAACTGAGGTTTTCATTTTGTTTGGATTCATTATTTTATGAAACATCTGACTTCAGTATCATTCACTTTCAAAATTTTTCTCATTCATTTTCACACTGAAGTCTCTTCAATAAGTCTGTTGAGTCAAGAGTTTCTTCTATTTCTTCAACAACTGCAATTTCCTCTAAACTTTCATATTCTTTTAAAATCTTAAAAATCCAATTTCTTTAATTTAAAATGTCTGGCTGTGCAACCATGAAAAACAGCATCCAGAGCACTTATGTGTATCAGTAATACCACATAAAGATATAATTTACAATTACAATTCTAATCCAGTCCCTAATTTTTAAGACTTTAGCTACTGCAAGTTATTTGCAGCTTGAAAAAATAAATATTTACCCCCCTCCCCAAAAAAAGTCCTTAATGAAAGTGTGTCTTATGTGACTAAAATCTTTATTTTTCATTTCAACTATTGGAATTTAACAATTTTATCTACATAGTGCTTTTTTTTTATTTAAGTTAATAGAATTGAGTGTATTTTTTCTTTATACACTGCTCGACATTGAAAATGCAACACCAAGAAGGAGTGGTCAGAAAGTTATGCAAATTTTAGAGTAGATGCACGTCACTGAGTTATGCAAATGATGTGAAATGTGCAGCTTTCCAATGCACTTGAAGTAAGATATAAGGGAAGGAACGTGCAGAATGGGCAATATTCATGTCATTATTTCAGCCAGACGAATTATCGAAGAAAGTTGGTTTTTGTCCCGGAGGATACGTGTAATAGGAGAGAATGCCAGGCCGCCGTCAACGAAGACACTTCCAGCAGATAGACGATTTTATGAGGGGTATGTTGACTGAGAAGGGCGAGTTGGTCTTTACATCAAATCGCAGCTGATACCCACATGGATGCCAGCACGGTGCATTGGCTATGGCGAACATGGTTGGAACAAGGATATGTGGGAAGAAGGAGGGTGCAGGCGCAGCCAGAGTGATGTCAGCACGCATGGATCATCGACTCATCCTCCGATAAGCTGTGGCGGTCTCGCAAGTCACTTGTACCGCGATTCTGCAGCATGTGCAAGATATCCTGGATGTTCCTGTGTCGACCAGAACCATTTCCTGTCGATTGGTTGAACGTGGCCTGCACTCACGGCGTTTTTTGCTTTCATTCTTTAGAATTTAATATTTAAAGACAGATCATATTTTTCCAAAATTTCTAAATTGTATTAAAAATCTGATTCTTTAAGAAGTTCTTATTATAACTTCTTAAAAATTTAATTTTATTTCTTAATTTAACACCTTCTTCACCCTCTTTCAAAATAGAAATATTTCAAAAAAATATTCTTTGGCTTGCCATGTTTATAATAACTATATTTCTTAATACCTTTTCCCCCCCTCATTCTAAACAGAAATTCTGTAAAAAAAATTCTGTTTGGCTTGGAATATTTTTTTTAACAGTTTAGCTTTTAATACTGTTTTCTGTTCTCCATTCCTTTTTTCCTTAATTGCTTTCCTTCCAGAAAAAGAGCTAAATTATTTTGATAACTGGATAAAAGAAAAACTGTTTTAGTACTATATTAAAATATAGGACATTTACCTATTTTATTATCTTGTCATATAACGAAATGTTTCGTTTTGAATTAAAAGATTTTATAAATCAACAGAATCATACACTCCAAATTAGTTAACTACAATCTTCGTTTCCAAATTAGCGATTTGTTGCTTAATCTATAAGACTGAACAAATAGTTATGGGTACAAACGTCAGTAGCTGGGAAACGTGGTTATGGAAACTAAATTACAGGAAATAAATATTTATACTAAGTAATATTAGTTATACAAAACGGCATTCTCTTTCACCATTATTACTTTATTGACAAATTACAATTTTATGAGATTTTTAAGCTATAACTTTAAAATAACTGTCTTACACTGCACAGCTTCAGTATATTTAAATAATTGTATTATGGTAAAAATATCGCATAATTTGTTTCACTTGATGATTAATGTGAATCATTTGTTTTAAATATTTCAGCATTTCCCAAATGCATTTTCCTGTTCTCTAAACAAATAGAGTATTATGCAAAAGCATAACAAATTTGCATGAATTAATTATTCCAGTTCATAAAACCATTATTGTTACCAAAGCTGACTTACAGAAAATCTGTATTACTCACTTCTGGGAATATACACAATACTATAACCTTCACAGCAATGCTTAAATACTATTCGTAGCTCATATGGTAAACTGAATTTCATTTAGTTCACTTGGCTGTTTATGCGTTAAAATACATAAGCTCCTTTATCTAATCAAAACATATGGAGAGTAAACACTTATTGTATACTGACTTCAATGATAGCAGTAATAATTAATATATAATAATTGAAAATAAAATTTAAAAATTATTATTAAGAATGAAGCGATTATCGATGAGAAAAATACCAGAGATGCATGAACTTTATAGAAGCACGAGAAAAATCAATGAAGATTTTTTGCTATTCACAAATTTCTACAAACAGACAATGAAATCAGGGCATTTGGAATAATTTTAATACAATTTTTCAGAGCAAAGATGAGGATTCGGAAAATGTGTTTTGATGTAAATATGAGGTAACATGAAATATAGGCATTCATGCTATCCTTCTTTCCTTCTCTTTTCCTTCTTTCTATCCTTCTCCTAAACACGTTTCAGTTTTTTATTTAATTTAAATAATATGAAGATATCATGTTTTACAATGCATACTTTCAAAAAGTTATTAATGTAATCTACATGAATCTGTACAACACAGAGCCGTACCATTTTTGAGTGAATCAGGCATTTGAAAATAATGGGGCACATGTACTGTATGTACAATAATTTGGAACGTGATAAAAATGTTTAGGAGAAGTAGTTATCAGATTAGTTTCAGATATTAAAATCTGATGATAAGACCCTGATGCTTTACTTTCTTTAAAGTATTTCATTTTTCTTTAAACTGGACTTTCTTTAAAGTTTTCATTTGATTTCTTTATTGAAATCAGAAATGATTTCAAACTGTTAAAATGCCCAAAAGGCATCAATACATGTTTTAGCAATGATGTTATAGTTTGTTTACTAGACGAGAATTAAAGAAACAGTTTAGTTAGTATACGTTTAACTGAAGAGAAATAGATTATTTGATGTCTTTAATATAAAAAAATGGAAACACGGTGTGAAATGAAATATGAAAACACGTTTATGCCTTTCATTTTAGAAACTACGCAATTAAAACTGAATTTCAGTTACTTACTGAAGTTCAAATTGAAATTGGCTGTATCTATGAAAATAAAAGTAATTTCACTACTTATTTTTGTATGGATAACTTTACAACTTTTGTTAAAATTAAAAAATAATGAAAAACTCATCCTCTTACATTAAAAGAAATACGTGTTTGTCTCACAGTATAATGCAGCGCAATTATATGGAGTTTTCGGAACCTTCGATTGACTCTCCAGGAATTGGCTTTCTGTTATAAAATTTCGAAACAAATTTATTTGCTTATTTAAATGCGGCAAAGAACTGAGGTCTGTCCCAATAAAAATAATTATATGAAGTTATATTTTACCTTAAAATCAGTTTTTCTTTCCCTGTTTGGCAAAGACTTTGATTCATCAGTGTTTTATAATATGCGAATTTCCACGTTATCACAATGAAATTTTTAAATTCCTTTATGAAAGATTCCTTTCTTAATTTTTCTAAGCTTTTGAAATACGATTTCAGAAATTAGTATCTTTTCAATGTCTATTTCTGCAAATGATACATTAAAGCAAAACTAAATGTGATAAGCTTGGATAATTAAATTAGAGGGTTAGATGTAATTTTTAAGTTTATAATAAATAAAATATCTTGTTTACAGAAGTGATATATATTAATTTAAAATAAAATTATTATTTTGAATAAAGTTTATCAGTGAAGCTTAAATATACATTTTGATTTATAGTA